GAAATCATTATAAAACTAAGGAAATTTACCTTTAATGGACTTAGCAACTATTTTCCCCCAATTTGTGCAGTCACCTTACTGCTCTTTTGAGTGAGGAAAACCCACAGCCCCTTCCCCGGTTCTCTAGAAAAAAAAATCACGCTATTCTTAGATTTCTAGGTTAAGTTTTGCACATTTTACAAGCCACTCCTCCATCTTTACCACCATTATACACATAAGTCCTCATATTTCCACCTTATTGCATACACATCCTTAAGGAATTAAATAATAATAGCAATAATAAAAATTCTGGGTATTACATTAAGTAAGCATGCTTATTTCAAGAAAAACATATATCATTGGAATCAAGCAGCATGTATTAAAACTTTCAGTAAATAGGCTTGAATAATCAAATAAAATCCAACTTGAAATAAAATGAGACTCAGTCATGGTAATTAAACCGAAAAAGGTTCTTAATCCTGCCACCATCTCAAAATCGATAAAAATCATGTTTTAAAATTATAATTTAAAATTAAGGATAAAACCATAAATTCACTTACCTTGAAAATGAAGATCTTAAAGTTGAAATGCACAAATAATCAAGAACCTAAAATTTACATTTAATATTAATCAACAATAATCCAGAACTACTAATTCTAATTTAACTTAATGATATCTAATTTTATAAGTTCTATATTAAATTTCCTACACAGGTGTTTGCATCTATTTACTGATTAAAATTAAAGGTGTTGGCGCCATTGAATCAACCCTTAAACTTGTCACACAATACCCATGTATTGTGTCGGACGACACCACCCACCCCAACTATTTTTATTCATATTATTTTAATAGATCAGTAGGTGTCAATACCTAATCCGTTTTCAGGATTAGAGTGTTGACACTACGGCAAATCTCAAACCAACAAGGCGTTGGCGTCATTGCCACTCATCCTCGCGTAGCAGCACTCACACACAATCATGTGAGTGCTGTTGTACAACAACTCCTTCCCCTTTTAATTTCTACTAACAAATCAATAAATATATATATGTATTTACACCATTTACTGCCAATTCAATAATCTTAGAGGCAAAACATTAAAACTCATCAGGATCTAAGATTTTGATGTTAGATTTGAGATGAAACCTTAATAACAAATGTAAAAAGAGATATGGGGATTACAATATTGGATTTAGCAATAAAGATCCAAGGAAATGAGAAAAAACAAGAAATCAAAAGGAATAAATATACTCACTATTAAAAATCTTAAAGTTGAACTATAAGAAAAGAAGACAACTGGATTTGGGAGGAGGTGTTTATTGCGTGAAAGCAAAATTTATTTTGAGAAGGGAAAAGGGTTAAATGGCAAACTTCATGTCTGTTTGAATTTTATTTGGGGAAATAATAATTCTTAATTTAAAAGACATTAATCTTAAATTAAATCCTTGAATCAAATCCTTAATTTAATAAAAATTTAAGATTATAAATCCTCATAATTGGCAATTAATCCTAGCCATTAATTAGGTCATGTACATTTAATTATATTGATTCCTAGAAATCAAGAAAAATATGCGGGTTATTACAATTCTAAATATTGTATAGATTTTATCTATTTGATATATATTTTAGTTTCACTTATTTAATTCAATAATCTTGCCTTCTTTTCATGAGATTGGAATAAAAATTAAATTATGAAATGAAAATTAAAGTTAATATTTATTTAATAGATTTTTTTTACTAAATACTTAATGAATATTAGATTTTTCAAGGAAAAATAGAAAAAAATATTTAAAAATTTTAATTTTTTAATAAGTTGAATCTACCTTACCCAAATCGAGACCCAAATCAAGAAACATGGGAGTGGATCATGAGCTTTAACTTAACAGCTGAGAGGACTCAATCCAAAAAAAACACAAGATCTGAAACGACCCAGTTCGTCTTGTTTGTCAAATCTACAGAAAGGGAGAAAGGCGTGGTCTGCAAATGACGTTGAAGCCCTTATTTGAAATGCCACCTTTTTTTTAACTTTTCAAAAAATTAAAATATGCCATACACACAAATTGCTACAAGGTGCATGAATCATGGGCTGATATATCACATTTAGTAGTGGCCAATTTTTATCTATATTTAATAAACTTATGGAAAGGCATCCCAATCCATGACAACCTTTTAAAATAAAAATAAAAATAAAAATAAAAATAAAAATTTACAAGTTAACAGAGGTGATCAGAGGTTAGCCACCACTCAACCTAGACATTGGTGGTGTTGTAAGCTCGTCACCTCTATATATGTATTTTTGTGGCAATTTAATTCTTGTGATCTCTCCCACCTCTTTC